GACACGAGACTTGGAGATCTGACACGAGACTTGGAGATCTGACACGATGATTTGTGATCTGACACGAGACTTGGAGATCTGACACGAGATTTCGGTGATCTGACACGAGACTTTGTGATCTGACACGAGACTTGGAGATCTGACACGAGATTTGGAGATCTGACACGAGAGTTGGTGATCGGACACGAGACTTTGTGATCTGACACGAGACTTGGAGATCTGACACGAGATTTCGGTGATCTGACACGAGAGTTTGTGATCGGACACGAGACTTTGTGATCTGGCACGAGATTTGGTGATCTGATACGATAATTTGTGATCTGACACGAGACTTAGTGATCTGAAACGAGATTCGGTGATCTGACACGAGACTTGTTTATCTGACAAGAGACTTGGTGATCTGACACGAGATTTGGTTATTAACCCGAGACTTTGTTATCTGACAAGAGACTTTGTGATCTGCCACGAGACTTGGTGATCTTTTCAACGCATCTTATTGAGGTTGCTTTGCCATTCCATAGCTGGTATGTTTCATGTTTGACAGACACATACTTTGTCTGGTGCAACTTTTTTGTTATCCATGCACTTTGACACAAAGCAGTAACTCTTCCCATCCACACGTGTCCAGCAGACTGGTTGGCTCGTTCATTTAGAACGTTGCACGTAAAATGCACATGCCGTGGGTCCGTTCGAATATCAGGCAGAGATTTTTTAATTTTAAGATTTGTTTCGGGTATAAGTAACTATAATGGAATGATGCACCATTCATGCACTAAATCATATGCACATTAAAGGTGGGGATTTAAATACACTAACCGTGTTTCTTTAGCACTACCTGTTTTTAAAAAAAAAAAAATGATTTTCCAGAGACGTAAAAGTCTAGAGTTTAATGTACATCTCTACCTCTAACTTAATCAAATCAGAATTACAATCTCTAATGACCAGTAAACAACACCATTCAAAACAGGAACTATAATTTCAGCTTTGATTTTTAATGCACACATAGTTATAATTTGTAACCGGTTTGAAAGATGGCTGGCTTCACGTCGTCTTGTGTCCCTCCATATCCTTCCCCCCATTCAACCTGCAAAGTCTGCCGGCTTCCGCGAACAACTGTTTCACCTGTCTCCTGAACTGCACGTTGCACAGCCCGTACACGATGGGGTTGGCGCAGTTGTTGACCAGGTACGACCGGGAGAAGATGTGCACCAGGATCTCCTCGGCCGCCGAGAGCCGTTGGTAGAATTCCGGGCCGCGCTGCTGGCGGATGCTGATGACGACGAGGAACGGCAGGAAGGAGACGACGAAGACGAGCGTGATGGCGAAGAGCATGAGCGTGGACTTGGGGATCCTTGCCTTCCAGGCGTGGGCGGGCAGGCAGTTTCCGTTTACGCTCTTGGCGGTGGCGTCCTCCGCGGTGGCGGCGGCGGCAGCCTCGTGGCTCGTGCGCGACGTCACCCATAGGGGGCTATCGGGGATGCCAAGTCCCGAGACGGGCCTCGTCTGCTGCTGGGAGTTGAGGTGAACTGCTTCTCTTACCCCGGGGGTGTCCTCCGAATTATGTTTGAAATCGTCCCCTAATCCAGGTAGGTTATCATTAAGGCTTTGGTTCACAGGTTGAGATCCGGAAAGAGCGTTTGAACGTCGATTGACATTATCGGCAATATGATGTGCGGAAAGGTCGCTATTGGGAAAACAGAGGTCCTCCAATCGATTTTCGGGTACGTCCAAAGTTTTAGAACTAACACAGTTTTCGACGTCTCGTTCAAGTAACACAGTTTGAGAATCTTCGTCTTGACCGCCAAGGTCACGTGTCTGATAATCGTGGCGGTCTTTCAGTAGCACGTCCCATTCGACGCCCGGAACCTGTCGAAGGTCAATAAGCGGGCGGCGACCCTCGTCGACGTCATACTTGTCATGACCCCCTGCTATTTGCACGACGCCGTGTTCCGAGAAATGCTGGCTACACTCTGGCACGTCGCCGCACTCGACCAACTCACACCTCTGTTGCATCGGCACGGCCGGGCCTTCAGTATCGTCGTGCTCTTCGCATACATCCAGCGGAATGAGATGAGACGCGTCGATTGTCTCACCCACCAACAAACCGTTCCCCCGCGCGGCGTCGGGTGTGTTTGATGGCACGCAGCCGCCGTGATGAGCTCCCAACGGCTGGATCCCGACGTGACCCGGCTCTCCTGGACTCACGTTCACTTGGCGATCCGGAGGCGAACCCCCGGCCTGCTGTTTCATTCTCAGTTTTTTCTTCCTCCGCCTCCTTAGGATGGACCTCCCGATGAAACTGTACAAAACGATCAGTATAATAGCGCAGGTGATGAAGGCGCACCAGAGATAGTTAAAAAACACATCGGGCCCCAGCGAGTTTTCGTAACCGTTCCGTACGTTGCACAGCACGCCGGTCACGTTCAGCGGTACGTCAGCGTCCGCTTGGAACGTGACGGTTTTGTTGCCGTAGAACGCCAGCGCCGGCCAGGAGACAATGGCGCCGATACAAACGGAGGCCGCGCACGCCATTTTGGCCCGGGCTATGGAAAAGCTCCAGCTGTAGGGGCGACAAATGCGGAAGTAGCGATCGATGGCGATGAAGAGGAAGACCGCGGACGTGGCGTTGTTGATGAAGTACGTGATGAAGCGGGAGGTGCTGCAGTAGACGGCGTTGGGGAAGTAGAAGAACTGGGCCATTAGGTAGATCTCGGTGGGCATGGCGATGAAGCAGTTGATCGAGTCGAGGACGGCCAGACACAGGAGGAACACCCTGGGGGGGGGGGAGAAAATGTTGAACGATGGATTAGTACAGATTGATGGATGTGTTTGAAATGTAGCCAAATGTTTAAAACATTGTTGAAATAAGACATTGTTACTGAATTACGGTTGTTAAAAATAGTATTTCTTATCTTAGTACGACTTTGAAATGAAACATAATAGGAATATGAAACTTTAAAAAAATAATGTCTTAATACGATACATCGTTTCAATGAAAGACTAGGAGAGTTTTACATTGTTTAAAATAATGTCTCATCTTTGGAGACTCCATCGTTATACACACACCATTAAACGCTCAAATTTTAATATATTTTTTGTTATTATGGAAGTGATCATTTGGATTACATTGGCTAAATAATAGAAGTTTATTTAAGAAGTTTAGGTCCAAAATGGAACTGTTTATAATATAACATCCAAACATCAGACCCATTATTGGTTGACTGGTACCCCGAACTTATTGCCACCCCCCCCCACCTAACTTTTTGCCACTCCAAACCACGCTCTATGTACAAAAAAATAAATAATTTTAAAACAAGTTTTTTAAAAAGCAACAACCTTTTAGATTATATACAATCAGTCCTTTAAACAATTTTGAAGGCAAAGTGCATTTTTATCATCAGCTGGTTGGAAATTTTTACTCTCAAATTTTAAGTACGGTAGCAAATAATTATGAAAAAAAATATTTCTTTATTTCAACTGAAATGTGTTGCCGTCACTCAAAATGAAGTGCTCGATGCTCACGGAAATTGAGACCAAATGAAAAAAAAAAAAACAAAAACAAGAAATAATAATGTGTAGAATAATATATATATATATATAAAAAAAAAAAAAAAAAAAAAAAAAAAAAAAAAAATAAAAATGTATAAAATAATATATATATATATATATATATATATATATATATATATATATATAAATATATAAATCACAATTTTAACGGTACTTGTATTTGTTAACTACACTCGCAACAAAGACGATCCGGAGGAACTAAGAACGCCCCCCAGGTGAGAGTACAGGTTCGGTCCAGGATTGAGCTCACTACGAGAAACATACTGATACCAATGAACAAAGCGGTATTTATATTTGATATAAAAAGGTATCCCAAAAAAAAAACCACAAAAAAACGCGCCTTACATAAAAATGACTGAAGAGAATAGTAACGAGGTCGGCTGCTGTCAGGTTTTGTAGTAGCGGGAAAGAGAGAAAACACGGGGGGACGGGTCAATCCATTTAGAAAGAAAACGAAAAAAAACCAACAAAAACAAAAAAAAAAAAAAAAAAAAAAAAAAAAAAAAAAAAAAAAAAAAAAAACAAAAAAAAACCAAAAAAAAAAAAAAAAAAAAAAAAAAAAAAAAAACAGAAAGAAACAAAACAAATTAACTTGACGTCAGAAGCCCCAAGCAGTGGCGTAGCTAGGTTTAATGCCCCCCCCCACCGGGGCGGGCAAAGATTTTTGCCGCAGCGACCACGGAAACACCTTGTAGTTCGACGAAAATGCCGCCCCTCAGTATACAGAGGAAAAGTTCCGCCAGGGGCGGACCGGCCCCTCTGCAACCCCCCCCCCTTTTTTTTTTCCTACGCCAGTGGCCCCCCAGCAGCGAACTCAAACGCGTGCAGCAGCATGTACGCATGAACACGGTGTGCTGGGCTGGCTGG